TCTTAATTAGTTATTAAAAAAAGGAAAGCAACTTAACTTAGACTTTTTATAGTATACACTGGACCAGTTATTTAAAGGGAATGGTTTAGCCAAAAATTCAAACTTTTTAGATTTTTTAGTTGTACTTATAATTTCATGTTTTATTTTGTTGAAAAAATATGTTAATTTTGCTTTTCAGCTACTTATTTTGTGCAGTTTTATATGTGAACTTTATCGTAAGGATCAACTTGTGTACAATGTATATTTATTAGCACATATAGAAAATAATACAGTTAAATTTTAAGTACTTGATAGATGTCCTTCTTTCAAATCCAAAACTTTTTTAAGTTAATTAAAAAAGCTTGTTCAAAGACCAAAGAGTTGCTCAAATAAACACGTACATGAAGATAAATAGAAGTTTAGTATTCCTTATTTTGATGGTAGTAATCAGTGCATTGAGGCACTGTTTACAGTTTAAAAATTATCAAGGTTAAGAGTGTTTTGTTTCAGCTAATAAAAGTGATAATTGTTTTGAAATTACAAAAAAATATGGTTAAGGTAAAAAGGTTTTAAAAAGCAGACAAACCTTATGACAAAAAGGTTATGTTTGAGAAATTTGCAACTTTTTAGTCGTTTTATACATATATATATATATATATATATATATATATATATATATATATATATATATATATATATATATATATATATATATATATATATCTTATACTGCTGAGTTAGGTGAGCATGATGATGTCATACTCACCTAACGTCAAATAGCCTGCTGCCGGGGGCTTCAGTACATACATCGATACAAAGATAGAGAGAGAGAAAGAGACACAAACATACTCTCTCTCACACACAAACACACACACGCATATATATATATATATATATATATATATATATATATATATATATATATATATATATATATATATTATATATATATATATATATATACATATATATATATATATATATATATATATATATATATATATATATATATATATATATATATATATATATATATATATATACATATATATATATATATATATATATGTGAGTGTCTCTCTTTCTCTCTCTCTTATATATATATATATATATATATATATATATATATATATATATATATATATATATATATATATATATATATATATATATATATATATATATATATATATATATATATATATATATATATATATATATATAAGCAGAGCTTTTTCTAGGGCGCTCGTTTACAAAATTTTTTTATTTAGTATTGTTATTTAGATTTTTTTTTTTATCTATTGGATAAGTTTTTAAGAATTTTGGAGCCCTTATGACAGGTTTTTTTTTTTGAATGGGAGGGGGGCTTGTATGTATTAGTCACGGCACTGTACATAAGATATATACAATGTATATTAAATTATATACAATATAAATAAAAAATTATATTTATTTATTAATTTTATATAATTTATTTATCAGTAACTAAAGGAATGTTATCAATTTATTATACGAATCATAAGCATGTGCTTATCTATTACAAGTACATTTTAAAACGTTGAAATAAACGTCGATTATAAAATTAAAGGTTATCTGTTTCTACTTTCGATGGTGAAAATTATATCTTTTATCTGAAGGGTGTTAAGAGAAATCGTAAGAGTTTTATAACATATTAAAAATAATGTATGTGTTACCTATAAAAATTAAAAACTTAAAGTTAAATTTAATTTTTTTACAGTTCATATTGAAACAAGATATTGTGTAAAGAGGTTTTCAAAGAAGTCGTTTTAACAACAATGGAAAAGCTTCCAATTCCTGAGATAACCGTGAAAGCATTCGATACATGATTAAAGAATCGTTCAAAAGTTTGCTTAATTTCGACAGTGTAAATTTAATTACAAATAAACCAATCAATTTATATATAAATTTGCTTTTTCTGTAAATTTTAAACATTTAAACGTAGCTTTGCAAGATTTGCAATGGGTAAAACTCGTGCGATTCTCACGGGATACCCGGCGGGCATACCCATATGGGCCCCAGAAGAAAACCGCGGCCAAGATCCGGCGGGTTCCCGATGGGTTTCCCAGATGGGTCCCATTTGAAAACCCATATGGGTCCCTTACGGTTTTAAAGTACGGGATTTGACTGGGACCCATACGGGATTCCCGGCGGGCTCACCCATATGGGTCCCATATGGAAACCGCGGCCATGATCCGGCGGGATACCGTTGGGCTTCCCATACGGGACCCAGTTGACGACCCGTATGGGCCCCTTACGGTACCCGTATCTCAATGTTGGCTGGGTATATATATGAATATATATATATATATATATATATATATATATATATATATATATATATATATATATATATATATATATATATATATATATATATACATATATATATATATATATATATATATATATATATATATATATATATATATATATATATATATATATATATATATATATATATATATATATATATATATATATATATATATATATATATATATATATATATATATATATATATATATATATATTTACTTATATGATGGATAATTTTTCTTTGTTTGAAATATAAATGATATAGCGGGGCTGGATGATAAGACATTTGTCTTCTGCCTGCTCCTGTCATATCTTAACTCAAAAAGAATATATTGTAAATAATTCATTATAACGCTGACGAAAATGTAAAAAAAAAAAAAAAAAAAAGCCTAACAATTTTTAAATAGTATGTAATATGCATAGTAATATGGACTTTTGTAAGCTAGTTAAAAACTAGCTTACAAGAGTGCATAGAAATTTCCGGTAGCCAAATTAGTTATATTTTAGGGTTAGCCAATTATATTATATTAACAAATTGCTTTAATATTGATACCTTGAAACTTTGATAATGATACTTAATAGGTTAATATCCTGTTAAAAATTTTGAAAAAAACGTAATGGAAGAAAAATATTAATTGAATTAAAACAGAAATAAGAAGTAGAATTGTTAAAATTATAAGAACTTATTTGAAGTTATTAGGAAAACTAATTTTAAGATAAAATAGGATTTTTTTTATAAGTAAAACTAAAATAAGTAAAATCAATGCACCAAGAACTAAATAGAAACTGAAATAGAAATTATAATTCGAGCTTAAATGTCATTGGTGTAAATGTCGCCAATCTATCAAAATAACTTAATCTGTTGTAGACAGTATTTTAAATGAATTCATAAATTTACAAAAATATACATCATTCAATTTTTAATGCAGACCACGCTCTTAAAATGAACTTTAGAAGTAGAAAGCAACAGAGCTTCTATTCTTTTTACTTTATGCAGGACCTGTTTTGTTAAAATAAACTATACTAACTATGACTTATTTATTTTTCTAGAATTGCTTTGCAAAAACGGCTTTCTGATAAAGTGGTGAAAAATGAACCTATAGTAGCATTTGGCAATCAAATGCTAATATGGTTTGTTAGAGAAGCACGCATTTTATATGTTGGGATCTTTGTGACATTCAATGTTTATAGCATGATTCATTTAGCTGTGTTAACTTTAGAGAGAGCCTTGATCATCTATCGGTTTTTCCTTATAAAAAATGTTTGGGTCAAATTACAGGAATAGTTCGAAAAACACATCAGATTGTTGCCCAAAAAGTGAATCAACTAGATGAGATAAAAAAATTTGATAATTTTCTTAGAGAAAACAATGTTAAAAAAAAATCTTGTTTGAATGGTAAAAAAAAAGGAAATCATATCAAATCTGCAAAGAAGAGTCTATTTTATTCAATACATGGCACTAAATTCTCTTTCAGTTAAAAAATATTTTTGTCATTATTTTGAAACATCTTATTTAGATGCATTTTATACCAACTTTAAAACAATTTTTCTGAAAAAAAGAACTTTTGAACCAATGCTTGATAATAACTGTTTCATATGGTGGACATGCTTTCTTTCTGCTGAGACGCTTGTTATAACTGATTTTTTAAATTAAAAATAGAAATTTTGATCATACTTGCAGACCATCATTTTGTCACGAATGTCTGTGCGTGTGTCAGGCTGTAATATAAATTGTTATAATTGCGTCAAATATATACTTTGTTGAATAATATTGTAATTTTAATACATATTAATTTATAAATTTGTTGTTATTGGTCAAAGTGTCGACCATTATAAAAAACGGTTAGACATTCCGAGGTATTGCTAATTTTTGCAGTAGTGGTAACGGTAAATAAGTATAGAAGTAAAATTGTTTAATCTTACCACAAGAGGTAAGATTAAACATTTTTACTACCTTTTTTATAACCGAAACGAGAGGATTTGTACAAGGAAGAGTTCTACGACATAAGCTGTTCGAATTCGCTAATGATATTTAATGATATTTACTTTTTCAAATAACACTGTTTTTTGTTAAGTAATTGGAAATGTTTAAATAAAACTGTAAGGGTTTTATCGCATTTTCATTTTGGATTAGTTGACTTTTTTTAAACAACTTTGATACCAATAAAGTCGTTATGGAATAAAATTATTTATTACTGTTATTCTGAAAAATCCAAAGAAAAGATCAGACCGAGAAAAAAAAATTAATTTAAAAATAAAACATTCACGAGAGTCTTTATTCGCTTTTATTTTGACCAGTGTACTCTTTGAGTCTAATTTATTATTTAAATAATAACAAATAAAAAAAGCAATAGGTACAGCAACAATAGTTAATTTAGAATAGACATGTTATTTTAAATAGTAAAAGTTTATTCATCATTTTTGGCATACAAAATAAGTTTTTTGTGTGTGTGTTTGTGTGTGTGTGTGTGTGTGTATCAAGTCGATTCAAATTGTTTATTACGTGAGAGTTTTTACGTTTTTAATATCATTGTTTTTTACGAAAAACAAAAAATGAAACAAAAAATGTAATTTCAGATTTAAAATAAAAATATTATAATATAAAAAATTGTTTTAATAAAAAAAAATTTCAGTTTTCCATAAAACGTATCAACTGCTTTATATAAAATTATAAAATATTTTACCTATTTTAGCTTTACAAATAAAATTTAATTTTTCTTGGCAGACACTGTCACTCCAACCGTTATAAGTTGCCTTTACACAAGCTTCGTTATTATAATTTGCATTGTCAGGTTCACCATGATCCCAATTAGTAAAGTTCGTATTTGTATTATCACACCATGTAAATTTTCTCAACATCGGGTAGTTATTGAGACCTATATAGTTAGTTTAAGTTTAGAATAAACAAGTTTTTTAAATATTACATGTATATAACAGTTGAAATGATTTTATAAAATCAGTTACCTATCCAGTAGTGCAAAGTATCATTGATACCTTGAGCTTCTTTTGAAGCTTTAATTAACCGAAGTTGATTAACAATATATGAATGTTCTTGTTGATCTGTAACACTTAACAAGTCTCCCATTTTACGGCACGATAAAAGAGACTTATACCAATTCTTTTTAGTAATATCATAGAAAAGGTAACAATAATTTCCATTTTGTGAACTATCATAGATGCAATTATCACTAGCATTCTCTAAAACGTATAACGTATACATACATCACTTTCAACTGCTTAATAAAACCATTTACAGAAAAAAAAGTGAAAAAAATTACTTTAGATAATATTCGTTACAATTCTTAAAGAGTTATATTATAATTATAGAACTATATCAAGCAAAACTTTATAAAATAACAAATATTTTATTTGTAAGTTTGGATACCAACAAAAACATTTTATTTGTTCATAAACTTTATTTTTATATTTGTAAAAATTTAATAATTTTTGTAATAAGTTTCCATCTTTGAATGGCATATAAAAGTTTTATTAAAAATTCAAATGCTTTTTGGACGAATAACTTTGTGTTATCCGAATTATCTAAATAAAAAGTATATTACAAAATAAAAAAATTAATTCTAAAAAAGTTGCAAAACAAAATAAACTACATTTGAAAATTTAAATGGCTTTTTATATCCAGTAGCCTAGCGACAAAAAGCAGCCCCCAAAACTAACAAAAGTTAATCCAAGCCGCTAAATTACAATGTTTAGTTTTAAACAATTAGAAATTTTAAAACAAAACTCTAAAAGTTTTATCACGTTATCATTTTCACTTTTTAACTTTTTTAATAAATTCGATACCATTAAAGTCTTTGAAAGAACAAAAATATATATTGCTGTTATTTTGAACAGTGCATATAAATTATCAAACTAAGAATTTAATTTAGTTTAAAAGTAAATCTTTCCCCTGATTCTTTCTTCGGTCAGAGTACTCTTTAGGCCTATTTTTAAAAAATCAAAAAATAATAAGCTAAACTTTATAAATTAACAAATATAGCAAAAGTACTGCAAATATTTTTATGAATATACAACTAGTAAAACAATATGTTATTGTGGAAAAAGCAAAATGAGAGAATATGGAAATTTTCAATATGTAAAATGCGGAAAAAAAAGTGCGATAAATTGCTTCTAATCCTAACCTTATCGCTATCTTAACCTAAACACTTTATTAATAATGATCTTAGTCATTACTTTATTAATAATGATTCTTAGTCAATTTTTTTTTTTTTTTTTTTTTTTTTTTTTTTTTTTTTTTTTTTTTGTTATTTAGGTGCCCTAAGAAGACCTAACGGTCTTGTTACAGAACATCGCGGAAGTGCATTTAAACAGGAAGTTCACACCTCATTCTATACCGTGACGTTAAAATATGTCCAGAGCTCGTTTTATACTTGGATTTCCTGCTTACAAAGCAAGCGCTCTAAACACTGCGCCACGGCCGTAATTAAAAAGACTTAACCAAGATTTTATCATTTTTTAAATAAGAAACCCAAATAGACAATGTATATTTGTGTGTGCTCCATTCGGCGCAATACAAAAATGGCACCAAATTACACTCTTTAGTAGAGTTTTTTAGATATTGATTTATGATATCATTTTTTTGTTTGTTTGTTTGTTGATTATTTTGGATTTTTTCATTAATATCTCATTTTTAAAATAAGTCTGTTGAGAGGTAGGGAATCAAATGGCTAATGTTAGATAGATTACATCAATAGACTGGTGTAACGCTAAAACAGACTGAATAGTACAAAAGTTTTTTTAGATTAGATTAGTTAAGGATAACTTCTGATGAAGAAAACCGTGTTGATTTTTTGAGTGCGTTTTATTATAGTTAACGTGACTTAAAATATTGTTTTTAACAAGATTTTTGAAGATTAAGCAGATGAGGTGGTTTTTATTAGAATACTATTATATTAAATATAAAAATTTTGAATAGTATACTATTCAAAATTAATATATAGATCAATTTGTTACAAGTAACAAAATAATTTATATGTTGATTTTGTAATTTTTCATACTAAGTTTCACTTTAGATTAAATAAATTAATATTTAGATTTAATAAATTTTAATAAAGAATAGTTGAACTCTTATGACTAACGTGTTTCAAACTGTGAAAATACTTTATGGGTATGATAGAAAATATAAATTTGTGAAAGATTTTGCATTAATATTTTATTTCCAGACTAGTATATTAGTTTAATAATAATTTGCTTTTTAGAGGAAGTAAGATATATTCTGATTAAGAACAATGCTTCATTAAACAATGAATATGCAAAAAGATGACAAATGTTCTGCGATGCAAAAACACCCTAGTTATAACTAATAACATTAAATTAACTGTATAATTGGTGAACCGTATACCGACATGCTTCGAAAGTTGGTGAAATACTTGCTGTTAACTTTTTATATTTTTATTATTTCATAATTATTTATATTGCATAAAAAATAGTAAAGATAGTATTTAAAAAACAAATAATTTTTTCGTCGTTTTATTATGTATTTCTTAATTATTTCCCATTCTATTTTACAATCGCCATGAATAATAGTCGCTTTTGTAATCTCATTTATTGATCGAAAATTAAAACGGGCTAATGCCCTTTTACTGATCTCGGCCCGACATCATTTCACTGATATCGGCCCGACGTTGTTTTACTAATATCGCCTCGAAGACATTAGGCCTACATCATTCTAATGAGCAAAAACCACGTCGACCCGACGTAGTTAAACTACCATCGGTCGCTCTAAAACCTACGTCGTGCAGATGTCGGCCCAACGTGTTCATGCTATCTCGGTTAAAGTTCATTTAGATGGACAGCTGGAAAAATTGAACCCATTTAAATATGTTTTGTTAAATTATAGGTTTTCATGAAACTTAACCAGTCTTGACAATGATAGAAGATGGGACACGGAATCTTTTGCTACTCCCCCCTCCCCCCAACCTTGTAAAAATTTAAAAAACTTAAATAAAGAAAATAAAGAAAATAAAAAAAGGTAATAAACTCAAGACAATAAATAAAAACTAATAAACTCAAGACAATATATGTACTGAATTTTTTAATATATTTTTTATATATTTTTATATATTAATTTAACAAATACTTTCATAGTACAAAACTAAAAATTTTGCACAACCATATATGCGAAAAATCGAACCTACAAACGTTGTATGCAAAAAATCGTATACTACTTTTTTTTATTGTTCAAATGTAAATTAATCTAGTTACAAACTTTCAGCTTAAAAAGTTACCACACTTCGCATGATTTTACTGGGCAATTTAATTGAACTTTCAAAACGGGTTTTATAATAATTTTTAAATAAAATATGAGCTTTTAACTTTTTTATTTTTGAGTTCCTTACCTGAAGTTTAACGAATAAACTTTTTTCTACCTTTTTCTCTTTTAAAGATAAATTAGACTTGTAAATTTCAAAATGGCTAATATTGACCGAAACACTAACGTTAGCCAAAATTGGAAAAATCATTAATTGGGAACCGCTTAATTATAGAAGTTAAAAGATTAGAGCTGTCGCCATATATAAATTACTAACTCTAATCAAAATATAAAGTAAAGTTATGAACAAAAGGTAAAATTTCCTGATCGATTTGGCATTGAATTACTCCATCGCAAATCTTTTTCTTGTCATTAACTATGTTTAATGGTTGTCGAAAGTTTCATGTCAAACGCACGAGTGGGCGCTGAAACTTCTATTAAATACAACAATACTGTATAAATTAAACGTTTTGAATTCTTTTAATTATAATTTGTTATATCTATGTTATATCTTATATATATCTGATGCGTTTGATGCTTAGTCTTTCTCTACCGCAATCATAAGATTTTCTGTAAAATATTATTTGTAGAATAGTTGATTCACAAACAATATGTTTTTTAATAATTAAAAAATTTAAATTTTAAAGTAAAAATTAAATTTTATCAAAACATTTATTCTAAATCATTTAAAATCGTCAAGTGTTTAATATATAATTTTATATAAACTTCAGCGTATTCTTCATGATTTTAATTTGTAAATTTAACGAACGTTGATAAAAGTTTTAAAACATTGACTATTATAATATTGACTATAATATTGAATATGCTTATTTGATGGTCAATAAACGTATACATTGAAAAGCTAGAAAAATAGATATGGAATAATTATCTATGATTGGTCAATATTTGGTCGGGAAACATTTTATTCATTCTTCGACCATTTTTGAATAAATATTGAAAAATTCTAAAAAATATTAAAAGTTAAAAAAAAAGTTAATTTTTCCAATTTTTCGAAACAATTTTTAAAAAAACTTAGAAAACCTTTTTTGAAAAATGCTTTACTTGTTTTAAAATTTTTAACAAGGTTCTGTTTTTAAAACATTTAAAAGCTTCTGTTTCACCAATGCTTCATAAAATGAAAACATATAGAAATAATTTTGCAATCTGTATCAGATGTTTTTTAAATCAGAAAAAAGTAATAAATTTATTTAATTGAATAAATTTTACCTGTTTTGTATTTACAAATATATCCAAAAGGAGAGTCACAAGGACTATCATTCCAGCCATTTTCTTTTATTTCCACGCAAGCCTCATTATTATATCGATAATTATTTGGTTCGCTAGAATGCCATGCAGAAAACTTTAAAGTTGTATTATCAGACCAAGCAAATTTGATTACTGATGAAATGTTGAGACCTTTTTAAAAAGTAGATTATAATAAAAGCTATTATATTTTTGATGTGTTAACAATACAATACAATATATTATTATATTAAAAACAAAGCATATTAGTTAAATTTAAAAACTTCAATAATTAATCGAAAACAATAGTAGAAAAAAAAAGTAAAATAACATAAAATATGACATATGAGCTTTTAATTTTAAAGATTTCTAAAAAGTAAAAAGTTTCTTTTAAAACATACGCTTTTTAATTTCACAACTTTTATAGGTGAAAAAGTATTAATATACTGAATGTCTTTAATACATTAAATCTTCTTATAATCATAAAGTAAAAAAAAAAACTTTTATGATAATTTTAAATTGCCATAACTTTGCCAAATTTCATTGATTATCTAGATTTAACGTTCAAAAACGAATAAACTTATCTACGTTGCAAACTGTTTAGGGAAAGTGAGGACGTAACCGCCTCCGCATCATTTGAATAGATGTTATATGTAAATAATTTGTAAATTGTTGAAGGTATACTTTTCATGGTACTATTTTTTTAAGTTGGAAAATGCGCAATTATATATATATATATATATATATATATATATATATATATATATATATATATATATATATATATATATATATATATATATATATATATATATATATATATATATATATACTCATATAGTGTCGCTTTAAGAGCATTTTAATGTAAAAAAAGTCTCTTACGACTACAATTTTAATTACCTCGTCTCTTAAGCTGTTTTTGATTGTCATCGAAATGTCAAAGCAATTAATTTATGCGGAAGTACATTAAATTTAATTGTTTTTTAAAAAATTTTTAAAAAACCGCAATTATAACGACTAGAAAGTTTTTTTTAATTAGTGGTGTTTTTGTTATTGATTTAATAAAAAACATTTTTTAAACATGCGTAAATGTTGCTACATCGACTATCTTATAGCCTGACTCGCAACGGAGTGCTGCTACATCGACTGACAAATAGCGTGACTCGCAACGGAGTGCTGCTACATCGACTGACAAATAGCCTGACTCGCAACGGAGTGCTGCTACATCGACTGACAAATAGCCTGACTCGCAAGGGAATGCTGCTACATCGACTGACAAATAGCCTGACTCGCAAGGGAGTGCTGCTACAACGACTGACAAATAGCCTGACTCGCAAGAGAGTGCTGCTACATCGACTGAGGGTTTGGTTTGGCCAGGCAGTCTATCAATTAAAAAAAAAAATTTAATTTTCAAAACTTTTTCTGGTCTGGTTTATTAACGCGCTCTTTAAAACTACAGTTTATGGGAAATATTTTTTGATGCTACGCAAGAGACATGCAAGAGTATACATATATATATATATATATATATATATATATATATATATATATATATATATATATATATATATATATATATATATATATATATATATATATATATATATATATATATATAACTTAAAAAATTATTAAAGAATAGTCGATGTAACAGTGAATTAGGTTAAATTATGTTAATATCAAACATCAAATAAGTCTGCCGAATATCAAATAAAGGAACTCATAATAACTCGGCCATAGTTTTATAAATTTTTTTAATTAAGTTTATCATTTAAAAAAGATCATGCAAACTAAAAGACATTTTTATATTTTTCTTTTAGTATATTTCTTTTTCTTAACATAAAATGATTTTTTTAAATCAAACGAAATGCTAACTTATATAGCTCTGCCTGAGTTGAATAAACCTGCATAAATGTTATATTCACCAACTTTTTTAAAAATAAAGCATCCCTAAATACTAACGCTCTGACTGTCATCTTATATATTTGTTACTTCTACTTTGGCAAAAAGCACCCAGTTCTCTCGATACGTCATAACTTGCGCGTCGTTTTCTCAAAATACTTCTATATTTAGAATATTCCTTTTAATTTGGTAAAATGTGTTGGTAACTTTATATCAAATTATCATTGAGTTGGCTTTTATTTAACAAAGTATAAACTAATTTTGCGTGGATGATGTTGTCTTAAATCTTTTAGAGTAATTCTAATGCAATTGATGCGAAAATTCACAAATGCTTTTGTTCTTTTTATTTCAAATCCTATTTAATATAAACTTAACAAAGTATTTTAAATCCTATTTTAAATCCTATTGTTATTTCCCTTTTTCTAGATGTAAAACCATCTTTCATATCTTTTTAACAGTTTGTTGTTTTGTTTAATGATTTTCTAATCATTTTTGTTACCTTGACTTTAAAATCAAAATAATTAAAAAAGGCTTCAATAAATATAAATAATTTTAATGACAAAACTCATCATCATTAGCAGTTTTATGCAAACATTTTTAGAAAACTATCAAACTAACTTAGTAAAATAAATATACATAAGTAAACAATATTTGCGGTGTTTTAAATATCATGGGGTTCGGCAAAGTAAAAACATTTTTGTTAAAAATTTTGTTTTTTAAAACGTAAAAATGTTTACAATTTTTTGAAACAAACAGTTAAAAAACTGCGTTATTGGTAAATTGTGTAAAAAATGGCTGGCTGTTTATATAAAACGTGTGCTGTTTGTCTAACAAAGTTTGGTAAAGTTTTAAGGATAACAAGGTGTACAAATTGTACACCATGTTATCCTCAAAACATAATTCAATTTACGTTTAATCATTTCACCAACAAAGACTATAAACGAATGATTTACACTGCAAGTTTATTTACTATTTTCTTTAGAACATTGGGCTCAGGAAAAGGAGCCTTAAGATGATTTTTATGGTCTTTCTTTTTGAACAAAACAATTATATTTATATGATTTTAAAATTATAACAGATTTTAAATCTTTCAGTAAAAGGAAAAAAATTGTTGTTGTGTATATCTAATAAAACAAGAGTTCTCTTCTTGTTAGGCTCCAGAGTGCAGGATCCCTCATGAAATTAACAACTTTACTTCCCAACATGACTTATTATTCTGAACACTGAACTTTTGCGTTTAAGATCAAATGAAACATATAACTTTATAGTTTGTAATTTCAGAGGCTCAATAAAGTTACAAAGTTAACCAATATTTTTGCCTAATCGTTCTATATAGTTTCACCACACTTAAATATACAGTCAAACACATTAAAAACCCTAAGTATAGTGTGTATGCAAATACGTCTAATATTTATATTATACATATTAATACATACATTCATGTTAATACATATACATATACAATTTATACAATAGAAAATACTTTAATGTCTCAATCTATAATACCTGATAAGGTTACATTGTCTATTAATTCTATCTAGTCTCTTCTCCATTAAATGTACAGTTAAGCATATATTAAAAAACCAAAGTATTTTGTTTATGTAAAAATAGTTAATATATAACTTATACCAGACACTTTCATATATATACATACAGTATATGTATGAATTTGTCTTGTATAAAGTATACATTAGCATAATTAGTATAAGTATATAAAATTTACGTAAATCTTTCGATCAATATCATACGTATACTATGAGTATATGTATATGAATAAACATTTGTATATACATACAAATGTATATACCCAGTAAGCACAAGACGCATTTTAGACGCTTATAGACGTCTAAAACTAGTCTAGGTAAAGACGCACTTTTATAGACGTTTTAAAGACATCTTTTAGACGTCTTTTATGAATGCTTTTTTAAAATGACGTTTAAAAAACGTCTTTTTTAAATATAAAAAGACGTCTAGAAGACGTCAATTTTTAAGACATTTTCTAGACGTCTTTTATAAAGGCATTTTTAAAATGACGTTTAAAAGGCGTCTATTTAAGCGTTAAAAAAACGTCTAGAAGATATCTTTTTCTAAGACATCTTCTAGACGTCTTTAATAAATGCGATTTTAACATGACGTTTAAAATGCGTCTTTTTAAAGTTTAAAAATACGTTTAAAAGACGCTTAATAAATAGTCTAAAATACGCATTAAAAGACGTCTAGATCAAAGCTAAAAGACGTCTTTTCTGAGACCTGTTTATAAATATGTCATTATGACTTCTTTTGACGGCTTTGTCATTACGCGTTAAGTAGATGTCGTATATTCAAAGTAAAAACATAGTTTTTATTATTTTCAATAATTTGTTCAAGTTTTAAGTGTAAATTACTTTAAATTAAATTACTTTTTTACACAATTGCTAAAATTGTTGTCACAGGAATAACTAAAATAATTGCTATAATAATAATATATCTTTTTTTTATTAACAATTATTTTTTTTTTTTTAATAAGTAGTTGACTGATCATGATAGTAAGTGAAAATGGCATGAATAATATATAAGTTAAAGATCAGTACTTTTAGTTTTTATACACCCACAAGCCATATAATAAGTCAAGTATGCGGTCAAAAATTAAAAAAAAACACTTAAGTTAAATTTTACTATAACTAAAGATAAGTTATAAATGTTTTAAATACTGTTTTGATATATATTTGTTATTGTTATTTATTATTTTCTTCTTTGATGCATCAACCGTTGGTAGTGATTACAGCAATATTACTGTGATTGCTGGTTCCTATGTATATATTGTATATACGAAATTATAACAATATATGATGTTATAAATACAATGAATATATACCACATACTACGCGAAAATGTTACGTCATGTACTTAAATTTATCTCGAAAAAAACGTCTAAAATACGTCTAAAACGCGTTTCTATAAAGACGTCTTCATTTAGACGTCTTTTAGCCTTATGATCTAGACGTCTATAAGTGCGCCTTTGAGACCTCCTTAAAGACATCTTTAAAACGTCTTTTAAACGTCTTTGTGCTTACTGGGTACGTTTAAATATATGCAAGCATTGAGAAAACTATACTTTTTTTTAATAACATGCATGTCATAATGAATGTTCTCGACACAATAATTTTAGCTATGAAAAGTATGTATGCTAGATAAAACATTAATGTTTATTAAGAAGTTATTATAAAAAATAAAAAAATTACAAATCATAAGTTAAAAACATTGAGTTTTGGTTAAATTTTGTTTTTGATGACTTAACCAAACTGTGTCAGACAAACAGCACTCGTTTAGTATAAACAGCCCACATTTCTTTCCACAATTTATAAATTTTGTAGATTTTCAACAACTTTGTCAAAATTATAAAAAAAAAATTTTAAACAACTTTTTTACTTTGTTTATTCCCCAGAAGTTTCTAATACCATAAATTGTGATTACTAATGCAAATCTAACCATTAGAAAAAAAAAATCAAACTTCTGGAACAACTTACCCTGGCGGTCTTCTGTGAGTTATGTTTGAAACAAAATAATAAAAAAATGAGCAAACTTTTTTTATTCAACGTCTTTTTTTTTATCTTGTTTTTTTCAAAGAGTGTAAATCCTAAGGTATTTTTTTACTGTTTTTATTTATGATATCTCTTGCATTTTATTTTTTAAGTTACTTGCACAATAAATAAAAAAGTTTGAAAAGAATAATATCGATCCAGAATTGATTTGTTACACCCTTTTTAAGCTGTTCTTCAATAAATGCATTTTCTGCTTCGTCAGCTATAGTTAATAAACTTCCTCCGTAATTTTGACACGATAAAAAAGAGCCATACCAATTCTTTTTTAGTTCCATATCACTTGTGTTGTAGAAAAGGTAGCAATAGCTTCCGTTTTGTATCCAACCAACAGAACAATTAATGCCATAACTTTCTAAATCATAAAAGTTTACAAAATAATAAGTATTTTATTACTTGAACACATTTCAATAATAATAAAAATAAAAAAAGTTTAGTTGTGCTATTGGTTAAGCTAAATTCCTATATGAAAACCCAGTAACTGATCTCATAAACCTTAGTAAATAAAAATGTATGTTTAGAACCAAATTTTTTTTTGACAAAATTGGCTTCGACTTATTTCATAAATAAGAAAACTAAACTTTTTTTTTTATCATTTATAATTTTTACTAATAGTCATTCATCTCTTTTTAGGTGTGGACGTTTAACCTCTAAATAGGTAACTTTAATTTAGAGTTTTACTTGGCGAAAAAAAGTTGCTTTCGCAAAGATTTAGAGATCAACGTTTTGCAAATAAACCTAATTTCATGCAAATAATATGTAAATTTAATACATATATAATGCATTATTGTAAATAAAACTTTAATTTTTTTATAAAATACTTTTTTTATAAAACATCAAAGCCATCTCATTTTTACATATATAAATGATCCTTTGCAAAGCTTCTAGCTTAACGACTATAACTTTCGTTATAAACACCAATAAAACAATATGGATACTTTTTTAACCAACATCTAGAAGATAGAAATTTCAAAATATCTTGACTAACTTTTTTATTGACATTTCAATACTCTAAAGAAAAAAAAGTTTCAAAAATACTAAGTTTCTTGATAGATCAAAACTTATCATGAAGGCAACAAACTGATAATATTTTTATGAAAATTGTTGAACTTCAAAACAACTGAAGTTATTTATAAATTAGGATATATACTATATAAACACCAATCCAGCATGCAAACAACGTCGTATAAACGTCTAAGCAAGGTTGAAATTATTAACGTCGGAATGTTCAACATTGTTTTCGCGTTGATTTACCGTTGATAAAATAATGTTGATTATTCAATCTTAAAACAACGTGTCTTTTGAATTTCCATTTGATATAGAGGCAAATTATTATAAGGTTGTTTAAAAATAAAAATATTTAATTACCCTGTAAAATTTGTTTTTATTATTGAATTTATTTAAAAGCGATAATATTTAAAAATATATATATAATATATATGTGTATATATATACATATATTTATGGTTTCCTGATGAACCTACTGATGGTAAAATATGCTGTTGAAAAGCACTAAAGTTAAGAATAATGTTTTTACTAAATTTTTTATTTATAATTACTTTTTATTATTTATTATTTGCTTAAGCTATTTTGTTTTGATTTATGTACGTATGTTATTATATTTTCAAAAAATAACAAGATTAAGAAAGCAAAAAACATATTGTCTCATCCAAGTAGAAAATTTACTACTTTTATTTTAGATTTGTATCTCTCTTGATATTTTATGATTGCTAAAATTACTTCATCTGGTTCTTCGACCATCAAAAATGATTGTCGAGGCTTTTTCGTAAATAGTTGGAGCAAAAATTATTTTGCGTGTGTCGCGTCACATTAGGGCAAAAAACTATAAAAACACATAAGAAAAATAGGTTTCATTTATATTAGAAAAAAAACTTTTTCTCTTAAAAACATATGAAATATTTTTTATGTATTATATTCTAATAAAGACAAAAACAATTTAATTATTACTATTGTAATAAAGAGAGTCTCTTATCCTTAAAATGATATATCTGCACCAGTTTTATATATTTTATGAATTTGTATGCAGCAAAATGAACTTTTTTTTTTTGTGACTTTGTTTTTAGTGGTCTAAGATCCTCTAAGTTCCATTTCTATAATGTTACGTACAAACGTCTGAAGTGTAAGCGTCTTTAGCATATGTTGAGTTTGCTGGCATTATATTAGAATATATAAGGAAAAAGTATGAAAAGCTATGTTTGGAAATGAATTACGAAGAACCGTATTTTTACGAGTCCAATCTCAGAGAGTTCTAAATAATATTTAGACTGGCACTCATATCCAATTTGTTGTTAAATAGCGATTCGCGCAACATCTATCGAGACGTGTAAAATTTTTAAATTTAAATGTAATAGAAAATTTATTTTATAGCTTTAAAAAGTAAAAGTAAGTATTGTTATTATATATGTATTTAATTATTTTTTTACCTCTTACTAAAATATACTGAAGTAAGGAATAAGTATAAAAAAGGTCGGTGTCGAACAGATTTACCAAGACCCGTATTTTACGGATCATGACAGCTAGTAAAGTCATTAAAAACCAATCATTAAAAATTGATGATCATGTATTTTTCTGACACTTGTGTTTAATAAGTTTTTTTTAGTGGTTTTGTATTCTTTAGGAATTTACCTGAATAATTAATATATAAGTAACTGAAGTACCAAAATCTTCTGTTTTAGTGTGTTATTTAAGAAAAGGAGATATCTTTTTTTTTAAATAACATACTAAATTATAAAAATATTGCATAAATAGCAGAAATTTTAAATTATTTTATCTTATTAACATATAAACAAAATGGTTTAAAAAATATATTCTATGAAAATATAAATTGAACAAAAAACAAGATTTAATTTTAAATTGATTCAAATACAAGTATTGCCAAGTATTATACCACGTCAAAAGCAATGTAAAATGGTTTTATAATTTGAAAATGCAGCGATTCTTTTTTTCACCATATCGATTAGACTTACATAAAAAATATCTTAAACTATTTGAATATATATATATATATGTATATATATATATATATATATATATATATATATATATATATATATATATATATATATATATATATATATATATATGTATATATATATATATATATATATATATATATATATATATATATATATATATATATATATATATATATATATATATATATATATATATATATATATATATATTATATAAAGAGTTTGATTATTTGAAAAAATACAACTTTGTGATGGAACTTAAAGTTTCATGCCCTTCGGCAATCATCAGCCATATTTTATCCTTTAAATTAAGAAAAAACAGTTAAAAATACAAAATACAGAAATTAACAGAAAAAAACCATAACAAAGCAATGGAATGAAATCTGACGTCAAAACAACATTTTTTTTTATAATCTTTAATTAAAAAAACATTTTTTTAATAAAATTGCTCAATCACTCGAGTCGAATAGGGCGAGAAGGAACTTGTTTGGATTCCTGCACTTGGATACCATTTCACTTTTTTGTTTGGCAGATTTTTTTTTTTGGAAAATATAATTTTATTTTTTTCGTATGTGCATAGTTCTCAGGACTTCGTGGCTGGGTTGTAAACATTGCACTGCCTAATTATTTTACATTTTTTAATCTTCATCATCTTTTAATTTCCAAATTTTCACTTTCCTTTACCATCTTTTAATTTCCAAAATTCTTTTGATAATTCGGTGTCATTTTTGTATTTCAGAATGTAAAATGATTTTATATGGTTGACATATCTAATTTTAAATTGTATTTCACTTATACTGATGTAGGTTTTGTTGACAGGAGTGTTAGTAAGATTATTGGAACTTATATTGGCTTGGTATACAATGTTTTTTGTTAAGCATTGGTTTAATAAAGGGCAGGTATTTTTATTAAGGCAATTGCAGTTGGGTTTAGGTGGAATTTTGTTGTTGTTCATAATTTGGTGATTGTGTGCATTAAAAAAAGATTTCATATTCAGCATACAGCTTTAAATTATTATAAAAAAATGTTTTTTTGACGTCAGATTTTATTCTATTGCTTTGTTATGGTTTTTTTCTGTTAATTTCTGTATTTTGTAATTTTTTAACGGTTTTTTCTTAATATAAAGAATAAAATATGACTGATGATTGCCGAAGGGCATGAAACTTTAAGTTCCATCACAAAGTTGTATTTTTTTTATTAATCAAACTTATTATATAATAATACTTATCAATTTAGTAAACAATTTACTTAATATTGATCACTCTCAAACGAACTATAGACTTTGTATCATAACTTGGTACAATAAAACAACATATAGTAATAGTAATAGTAATACAAACTGCTGTAACGACGATTGTCGCGGAGTATAAAGTTTAAAATTTATACTTCAACAGCCATTAGCAAATATTTATCTAGTCTAGCTTTAAAAGAATTTACTTTCATTGCAGAAAACACTTTTTTAGGTAAAACATTCCAATGAGGTATCACTATGTTCGTAAAAAAATTGTCTCGGTGCTGTTTTTGCAAATTCTCTTTCAAATTTTATTGGATGACCTCGAAGTCTTTGGGAAGAAGCTTTATTAGGCTCTTTATACCATAATATCTTATCAATCCCAGTTGTTAATTTGAAGAAAGCAACGAGATGTTTTAGTTCAGGGGCTAGCTTTGTTGCTCGTCTTTGAATTTTTTCTAGATCATTGATATTGTTTTTATTACTTGGACTCTACACTAGAGCTGCGAATTACAAGTGTGGTCTAACCAACGATGTGTATAGTTGCCTTACCATTTCAGTGTTAAGATAAGTAAAGCTTATTCTTATTAAACATAAGATTCTTTGTGGTTTACTTGTAGCTACTTGAACCTGATGATTCCATTTCATAATGGATGAAACTATTACACCCAAGTCTAGTTCTTTTGCTGTTGTTTTTAGAAGAAAACTTTGATTGTCGTGCTTTATAGTGTAGTTATAGTTAATATTTTTTCTTCCAATGTGCATAACACTGCATTTATTTATGTTAAAGTCCACTAACCATACATTTGACCATTCAGTTAACAAATCAATGTCATTTTGCATATTAGTTAGATCATTATGTTCTTTTATAACAGATATGATTTTTGTATCATCAGCGCATAATTTTGCGATTGAAGAGATACATTGGAGAAGATCATTGATATATAACAGAAAAAGAAGAGGACCCAATACAGAGCCCTATGGTACACCAATATAAACCTCGCACCAATCTGATACAACTTCACCCATTACCACTCTTTGTTTTCTGTTTTTTAAAAAAGAATCAATCCAATTTAAAATATTGCCTTTAAATCCATAGTTAGAAATTTTATGTATAAGTCGAAAGTG